ATATATAGATATATATATATATATATAAACATGGTGAGTTTTCCATATTATTTATTTAGTCTTTTCGGCCATCTACTTTTTAATTCTTTATCAACGATTTAGATAAGTTGATATGACATAATTTTGTATAAAAAAAAATTCTTGGATGTAAGCAAATTATTTTTAGCACATTATGTCATGGAAGCAATATTCCTATTGAGTGGGCCAATTATGATTACTTTAGAATTCTCCAATGCAAATATACTTTTATATGCAACTTTTTACATTAAAAAAAAAAAGAAGAAAAATTACTTACATACCACCACCCAATTTCTATGTTTTAACATGTCTAACATCTAAAAATTAACATTTATATTTATAACACTTTAATGTCGTAAATTTATGTATGAAAATGTATGAAAAAGAAAGTACAAATGGAAAATTTTATGTGATGTTAAATATATGAGTTTTATGAATGTGAATATTAAAATTTAGCATGAATCCCCACGCAAGGATAGGGAACATGACAAACTGGGTGGGCTAATAGCTGAGGTGTGTCAGAGTTGGTCGGGGAAACCTAATCAGGTTATTCAGATAGTCAATATTCAACCCTTAAGATCGTCACAAAATATCATTAGGTTACCCTACCATATACCGAGTTGACTAACCTCAAGGCCGAACAAAGGACATCCATAGAACCAATCGAGTGGCAGATGTCCATCGAGCAGGGAAAGCAGATCATGGGACTGTGATAGGAACACCAGAGAAGTCGGACAAGAAGATCATGCACCAACATCACATAGTCCACCTAGCTCAAAGACAAACGAATTGAAGCAAGTCGAACAAGGGAAAGATCATCCCATCGGTGAAAAGTTTATTTGGACAATGAATTTTGCAATTGACTTTAGTAACTCTGAGTTCCTTCGTATAGGAAGATGACATAAAGGTAATTATATATTTAGTGTACCTCCCATACCTATAAATAGGGGGTACCTTTCATGGAGAAAGAAGCTAGACACTAATTTCTACTGTCATTCATTTTTGGACTTATCATACATGTTATATTCCTTGGGCGTGACTTTTAAACATTTTTGTGTTCAACACCCTAAAAGGTGTAGTGAGCATAAAGTCATGCCTCCAACAATAAGAGGAACACGGCACAGTGGTAGGACAACCACCAGAGAAACACAAAACCTAGCTATGAAGAAAGATACCATAAGGGAGATGGTCTAACAAAATATAATGGAGATGAAAGAACAAATAATGCTCGAAATGAAGGAAAAAATATAACGTCTTGTCGAAAGGAGCCCATGACCCCCGAACATAGCCATGTAGAAAGGAGAAACAATGGCCCATGAGATAGACCCCCACCAAATAGTTGAGGATCTCAAATAAAGGTAGATGGAGACAATAACTCCATTTACTAAGATAACGTTGGTTCAGCCTCGATGAAGAGATATTGCACTTCACAAACAATGGCTCTTTGCAATGTAGGAAACACATTCTCTCAATAAATCTTTGAAGCAGAACCACCCAAAAAATTTAAGACCTCTAACCTCGACTCAAACAAAGATTTCATTGATCAGGATGACTAAGTAGCCACTTTTGAGTCAGTCATAGGCATTCTCAAAATCACTTACAATTTCAAGTGTTTTTTGTTTCTCACCATGCTAATAAAATCGACCCTCCATTGGATTAATGCTTTCCCAGTAGGGATAATCACCACATTTAGTGAAATCAAGAGATTATTTGTGGTTCACCTATTAGCCACAAAAAAGTCTCGATCACTCCTCCATTCCTATATAGCAAGGTTCCAGCGAGAGATGCCAGAGATTCAGAATCTTAACCTATAATCGCTCAAAATACCCTAATACAGGGGGTCAAGAGCGAGCAATGCAAATACTCTCTAGGGCTTCATTAGCCAGGCTCAATGAACAAACTTATAAAAATGGAGAGCGATTGCTTCACCGTTGAGGAGTTAGTTCTTCATGACTGAGAGGAAGCCAAAAAGCAGTCGCCGACATCCAAGTGCGAAAAAGGGGACCAGTGGATGATAGATGGCGAGTGAAGGATGGCCCTCGTCCCCCTACTCGTCCTTATTATGATGAAGGATAGTGTGGCATGGGGAGTTCGAAGTGTGATCAACGCAACAGACATCCTCAACACTCTACCAAACATGTTGAATGATTAGCAATCTATACATAACAACTAAAGATGAACCCCCTAAGAGTCTCCTTGACCAAGCTGGTAGAACCTATTCAATACAAGGATTACATCAATAAGCCCCAAACGATGAAAGCCCCAACCAAAAAGCCCATGATCCCCGAATGCTTTGTCCACAACCCTAACAACATCTACCATCATGACCACAGTCATGATACGAAAGAATACTTGCACCTCGAAAGCCTCATTGTGGAATTAATCAAGACCATAAAATTAAAAGAGTTTTTAGCTCTTTAGGTTGTTACCCACAGACAAGGAAAATCCCCATCCAAGGAGCAAACAAGTAGCCAGCTAGAGCCAACAACATCCACATTTTAGAAATAATACATGCGATACAAGGAGGTGGGGAAGACTTCTCGACGATTGAGCTTAAAGAGGATCCGATCGTGAGATCTATGTCTCTTTGTCATCATCCCATAGAGGGCAACTCATCCGCCCATTACACTCAACAAAGAAGACCTGTTGAAAAAAGGTAATCCTTACAATGACGCAATCGTTATTACAACTTTTTTTTAACGAATATCAGGTGTGAAACATACTTATCAACACAAGAAGTTACGTTAATATACTATTCAAAGTCATGTTCGATAAGCTCCACCTAGAGGCACAACAGATGGTAGCATCATTCGCTCCCCTCTTCAGATTTTCATAGGAGATAAAAGAGGCCCTCGACGTACTAAAGTTGACATTTACCCGGGGAGACAAGGATCAATAGTTAGCATAGAAGTGGTACTACTGATGTAATTTAGCCATCACAACCAAATGTCGTTACTACTTCACATTTTGCTATGAATGCATGGAGGAATGTGAAAAAGCTAACGACATAGGAATCAAACTCGCATTAGATCTCACCAAAGAAACCCACGCCATGTCTGCTCTTTGTCAGGAAGAAATGAAACGATGAAGGACTCGATATTTCAACAAACAGTTAAAAGAGAGGCATTGTGGCAAAAGAAATCTTCCTCAAGAAAGCTGACTCCGTGACATGCGAACAAGCGATCAGAGAACTCGACCAAACCTGAACAGTATCCCACATCATCACTCAAAGAGTGGCCTCGGGGGTGTATCGACTCAAAACTTATAACAGAGACGGTGTACCTCAGACCTGGAGTGGGGACGATCTGAAGCAGCTTTTTCCTTAGCAAAAGATTTTCTGAACCAAATAAATTTAGTGAATGAATGATGTTTTATATTATCTGTTTTTTCAAAGGATTTGCAATGATGTCTATACTCCGATACACCGAACCAATCAGGGAACTAAATCTAATCAATTGCAGCTGGGGAACTAAATTCAATCAATTAACAATGATGATCAATTTTCATATTCCTAAGAGCGCATTTCTGATAGTTATGATGAACAATTAGGTATCATAAGATAAAACCATCGACTACTCAACAACATGCGAATGAAGCAAAAAAATTACCATCGAACTAACTGTTTTACTTGTCTCAATCGAATAATATAAAAGACTTCCTTACAGGGCGAGCAACACAGAGACTCCTCTATGGGGCGAGCAAGGGTGAGTGATATTAAGGATCCCCAAAGGAGCAACGAATCAGTAAATTCCCCTCCAAGATAAGTAACCTGAAATATCTAATGCGTAACGAAAGTAAGCACGCGTAAGGGCATGAGATGCTAAAAATTAATAGCCACAACAAGAATCATTAATGTAATAAGAATACAAATAAGTCACAAATAAAGCATCAGAGAAAAGTGTATACATATATATCCCCGTTTCAATTTTATTACCCCCGCTTACAAAACAATACAAAAGTTTAAAATCACACAAAGGTCCCTTGATACAAAAATTCAAGAACAATGATTTAAAGACATCGGCCACAAAAGGCTTCAAGGGTGAAATGGTGATGAGGCACTCTCTTCCACTGACTCGGCCTGACCTCCAACAGACTTCTTAGTTGTAAGAGTCGGGTTAGATTACAGTTTAGCAAATATGCCCAAATCCTCATACATTGGGTCGATCATCACAAACCAAAAAACTGATTGATGGCAAACTCCAACCCCAATCAAAATTCGTTTGTTCATCCTTTTGTGATATCTTCAGCTGTAAGTGAGGAAGCAACCTTTGTGAACAGTTTGTTGTTTTCCTCCATCATTATCGATGGCCATCCTGAAGCCCCAACCTCATCCTCCAAACGAGCTTCAACCTCCTCAACCCATGACAAAGACTTCTTCAAGTAGTTTTTCATAACCTTAATCTTCTTCCACACCTGTGACAATTTGGCTATTGTATGAAGATACAAGTTTGACAGATAATGGGATGAAAATGCACCTAACAGTTGATGTTTATCGATCATTCAACATAGCTCCAGTAGACTCAAATAATCCAACCTCTCCTCGAAGATCTCCAACTGCAGTGTCTCCATCAACTCTGACGTATGAAACTCTACCCCAGGGCTACGTTGGAACAAGTCCCACTGCAAGTTGATAAGGATGAAAGAGAGTCCCTCGAGATGAAGGCATTCAAACCATGCATCTGCATTAGCCTCCATTCGTCATCATCCCTGGGAAGAGAGATAGAAATAAATTCTTCACTGAAGGCAGATTCTTTTCTCTTTCTTCTTCTAGACTCCCTAAAGAGGGAACTGCCACCCACCGCTCCTCCAAAAACAAAGCAGCCAGAGGCAAAACCTACATCGGCTCTTAGATCTTTTTTTTTTCCCTCTGAGATTTCTCTGAGACAGAGGAACTCCCCCTAGTACGACTCTCAAATCTTTTCTTTTTCCCCTGAATCCTCCAACTCTATCCTTTGTAACATTGAAACTTCATCAGACGAAAGCACATAAAACTTTGAAGAGCACACTTTCTTGAACTCCAAAGAAGAATATTTTGATGCCAAAAAAAGTAAGAAAGGGAAGAATGAGCAGAAGGGAAAAGACCAAAGGAATCAAAGATAAGGAAATGGGGCCACTGGTAGTCCCCAACCTCATCTATATATATACATACACACACACACGTTCGTACACATGGAACAAGTGGGAAATGAAGCATCACAAGCCTTACCTTGGGAATACAATACTTGTCACATCAATAGAAAAGAAAAATTAAGATAGTCACACAGGGATAAAAAGTTCATACAACTTGCAATATAGTTTACATCTATTCAAATAAGAAGAACTTAGCAACTGGCTCCTCGACCCTGAGGAACGACCAACCCACGCCTCAATAACTCTTTATACAAGGCTCGACCACCTAAATTAAATCAATCAACACTATCATCCTCCGCAATGAATTCTAGAAACTGAAAATACTTCTCGCACATCCACCAAATCTTATCGCAAGCACATAGTCTCCATCCTAACAAGCTCAGACTCAGCCCGAAGGTCCATCGCATCAACTTTGAGTTTGAGGGTCCTGCCCAGCAACTGCTCAGAAAGGGAATCCAACTATGACTTCAGCTCATTCAGGGTAGCTTCCTGCTAGGTCTCAACCGCTTTACAAGCTTCAGCCTTACAAGCAAAAAAGTACACCATCTCATCTAAACAACGGACCACCGAGTCAGTTGAATCCCGTTTGACCACCGCCTGGTCACCTTTTGAAGAAAGTGATGTCTGGCCACTAACAACTTTAGAGGAGTCAGAAATAGGAACCGAATCAGCTATAAAAGAAGTTTGATGAAATTAGAGAAATCAAAATGATAGGTCTTCACAAACAAATCAGGAGTCACACTACAACTAAGAGTCGATCAACTTCAGATCAAAGCAAAAACGAGGAACTCTCACCAAGGGCAGAAGGAACACTTGTTGTTTTTCCAGCCCGAGAAGAATCGGCTGCACCCTCGCCCATCGAGAATACACCACCAGAGGCCCTCCCCTTCTGGCCACTCAGATTTGAGGGTTGGTTCGATTGCGGGAGGAACGTGTGGGCTCTTCTCAAGCCCCCTCTTTGCCAAGGGAATATCTTCCAAAAAATCAACCCTAAGAATAAGTTGGGAACTATATGAGCATGAACAGATCAAGACAACATGAATCTTCACACAATGAAAGGGGACACGACAAATTAGGTGGGCCAATAGCCGAGGTGTGTCAGAGCCGGTCAGGAAAGCCTAATCAGGTCATTAAGATAGTCGACACTCAAACCCTAAGGTCGTAAACAAAATATCATTGGGCACCCGACCATACGCTGAGCCTACTAACCTCAAGGTCGAACAAAGGACATCCACATAATCGGTCAAGCAACAAATGTCCATCGAGTAGGGAAAGTGGACCAAGTGACTG